TATTATAAAGACATTATTTTACATACGTCTCATGACCTGTGTGGTTGGTAATATGATTGTTATTTTGCAGATGAGGAAACTAAAAGACTTTCCCAAGGTTATTTAGGGAAACAACTTCAATTTGATCACAAGTGTCTTCAACTCTAAAAATAGTTTACCTTTCCCTACACCAGCGATTCACAAAGTGTGGTAGCTACACCAACAGCCTCAGCATTACCTGAGAACTTGTTATAAATACAAAACCTTGGGCCTCATCCTACCCACTCAATCAGAAACTCTGAGGGCAACAAACTGTTTTAATCCCATTTGATGTTTCAGGTGCATGTTCAGGTTTGAAAACCACTGGCTTCTTCATGCACATGAAGTGCATGTGCATAAAACTGTTGCTTACTCTGTTGGGCAATTTTTATTTATTTTACCATTTTTGAACAATTGTATTTTACTGATATGTAGTGATTTGATATACCACAGAACTACATGCAACAGTGTTAGGGGGCAGGCACCCTATTGATATATAATCTTGGCAAGTTGCATAACCTTTGTAAGTTTATAATTTGTTTATGGTAAAAAAAAAAAATGGTGAGAAAACATACTAAAAGCACTTAGCCAGCACCCGTAATGTAATAAATGCTAGATACAGTAAATAAAGACAATATAGCTTTATGATCATCATTAAAGACAATATTAGTAATGTTATAATTAATTGAACAGGTAGTGAAGCTCATGTATTATGTATGTTGCAAAGTAGTGATGTGCCTCTACTTAGAATTTTTGTTATAGAATTGTCTTAATTTTTTCAGTTTCAAAATAAATTCCCAATTCATTTCAATTCAATAAACATTTCCTATACAACAAGGTGCTGTGTTGTTTCAGGGTATTCTTTTAAGTATAGTGAGAATACCAGTTCAATTTATATTAAGGAATGGACATTATTATTTATTGAGTAATGCTTTAGATTAAATCCTTTAAAATTTTACTTTGTATTGGCTTACAGCTTTAAATTGTGCCCTTTAACAGTATTTAATATATTATTATGGATACATATTTAACTTCCAGTTAAATTTATTACTTAGAGAAAACCCTGTAATGCCATATTTAATCTCTGTATAGTTAACTGTACAACATTGTGTTTTAACAAAGAGATTTTCAAATAACAGTTCATCTGCAGGAATACTATGTATTCTCTTTTTTACTCAGTGAGACTTAGGCCTATTATTTCTTGTTTATTTGCACCAACCAGTAAAAGAAACCAATTTCTATCCCCTTTATAATGCTTTTTATACATAGAAAAAGGCCATTATCTTTCCTGTGTCTTTTTTTTTTTTTTTTGAGTGAGATTTTCAAGTTTCACAAGCTCCTCTCATAGCTCATCCTCTTTTCAAGATCTTTTTATCATTTGTATTGTATCTCCACCAAATGCTTGGCAATTTGTCTCTCTTTTGAAATGTGTTTTTTTGGTTGTTGAACTTAGTCTCCAAATGCAGCCTAACAAGACCTAAATGTAGTCAATCCATTTTATGCATGACATCACTATTACAATTCAACACACTGTAGCATTTGAATATTTAACAGGTATTAGAATGTCAACTCATTCAATTTATCATCCTCTGTAACTCTTGAATTTTTCTTTCTGCTGCTACCATCTCTAGATATTCATTGCATATTTTGATCTCATTATCCTTCCCTGCAGCACCTTTCACATTCATTTTATTTTCGTGATTGTGCTGTCACTCATTTTACCCATATCCCCAATGTTTCAAGATTATGCTGCTTAGTAGTACAACACCCCACATTTGCAATCCCTGCTACTTCTATGACTCACTGTTTGTAGACATATTAAAATAAATATGTATTTCCCAAGGTATTTTGTAAGTCTACTACTGCATTACCTCTAGTATTCTTTTCTTAGATGACTTTTGTAAATCACTCCATTAAAGGCTCCCATTAAACAAACAAATAAACAAACAAAAGCAAACAAACAAGGGTTACTGGTCTATTGCTATAGGGCCACTTTTTAAAAAAAAAAATGTTCTTTTCTTTATTGACTCAGTTTAAGAAACCTAAGCACAGCACCAACTACAGAATTGCATTATTGTTTAATTATCAAGCTGTCGTCAAAAAAAAAAAATACAGATTATACCTCTGATCTTTCACACCCAGGTAGTAGCTTAGTGGATATTATGTCTCCTCTCTGCAGGAGGTGACTTTTGGTTGCTGGGGAATGCCTTATAGCTGATTAAGCAAATCTTAGTAAACACAGAGTTAGTTTCATTTAACATGTTTACTTTCCCAGTTACAAAAGAAAGCAAAGCAGAGAATATAACATAAAATTAATGAAGGAAATGACAAAGAACTTTAAGTTATTTGGCCCAAATTTTATTTTGCCACCTAAGTGGCAAAGCTACCAAAACCAAAATGAGCTGAATCGTTCAAGTTTACAAGTCAAACATTACTCTATTTATGAAATTAAACAGCAACCAACGTAGCTTTCTTCTGTCTGGAATTGCCATCTACCCCCCCCCTTGCATATTCATAGACACCTACCCCTGCCTTCAGTCCTGCCCTATCCACTTAAGGCCTACTTATCCTTCATGAATCAGAATAAGATCTCTCCAAGATTGTAATGTTTCCTTTCTTTGTGTTCACACTCTATCTTGTACTTAGCTCTTATTTCAAAATAAAACTGCTTAAGAAACAGTTTCTTCTATGAATCTTAAGATCCGCCTCTTTGATTTCCAGCTACCAGATGGTACTGAGAATTGTTCAAAAAGCATTCTTAAATAAATGAACTGTTTTTAAAATAGCATTTTTTTCAACAGCTATATTTCTAAAATTTAGACAGTGATATTAGGCTTGAACGCTTTCTAGAAAAATCATGGTGATACAATGGTGTGAGTCCAATTTTAATAACACAGTAGGAAAACATGTTTATATAAGTAGACCCATTAAAGTATTTAAAACAATAATCAGTCTGAAAAAGGGCATGTGTTTATAGCAAAGTAAAACAACAAGTAAAACACACAAAAACAAAAGGGAAGAAAGAAGAGATTAATTTCTCCATAATATATTTTATCTTTTATATATATATGATATGGATTTTAATAAAATTTTAGCTGTATTTATTTTGGTTAAGTTTTTACTTCCATGGTCCTATTATATGTGGTAGAATTGAAGGAGGTAGTAAAAATAGAAAAAAAGACCTAGAACCAACCTAAATGTTCATCATCAATAGACTGGATAAAGAAAATGTGGCATATATACACCATGGAATACTACACAACCATAAAAAATGATGAGTTCGTTGTCTTTCAAAGGGACATGGATGAATCTGGAAACCATCATTCTCAGCAAACTGACACAGGAACAGAAAACCAAACACTGTATATTATCACTCATAGGGTGTTGAACAATTAGAACACATGGACACAGGAAGGGGAGCATCACACACTGCAGTCAGTAGTGGGGGACTAAGGGAGGAACAGCGGGGGTGGGGAGAGTGGGGAGGGTGGGGAGGGATAATGAGGGAAGAAATACCAGATATAGGTGATGGGGGATGAAGGCAGCAAACCACCTTGCCATGTATGTACCTATGCAACAATCCTGCGTGATCTGCACATGTACCCCAGAACCTAAATTACAATTAAAAAAAAAACTTTCAGATCTGTCTGAAAAAACAAAAACAAACAAAAATTTTACAACATTTTCAGATCTAATAAAACAGTTTTCAGAAGACTTAGCAAAAAATCTTGAAAATTTAAGAAATTAGTACACTTTGGCTCTAGAGAAGATGGATGAAATATTGGATCACTGTCTTCAAACATATGATAGATCAATTGGCAGATGATACTGTTAACATATTTTTCTTTGTGACTGAGTATAAGACCGGAAACAATTAACTTAGGGAACAAGCAGGAAATGCTACAGGAAGGTGAGGTATTATGATGACTTAGTAAATAATGTAGTGAAAGATTTCTATAAAGACCTTTTGAACAGAATAGTTACTCTTTAATCTAGTCAGATATTAAATTTAAACCTAAATAGCTCTTAACAAGACAAATACCAATTTGTTCCATAAGTAGGTTATACTGACTGTGGTTCTCTTAGTTTATCAGAGCAAGTGTCTTTCTTTGTTGCCTGTGGGTCATCCCTCACACACCTATAAGGAACCACCCCACTGTTGCACATAAAATAGCATCATCTGTACAAATCAACCCCTAGCTTCTCTTCCTTCCTAGGAGGAAAGACTCTAGTTATGGGGACCAAAACCAGAGAGGACTGGATATCAGTTGTCCAAAATATAAAAAAGAAATGGTACATTAATACCCCTGAAAATATAAAGGCACCTTAAGAAGGATTATAGTACTGTAGGCATAAGACCAATATATTTGGTTATTTTTATGTTTAGTATTCTTTTCATTAACAAGTGACATCTAGCACGGTACTTCTTCCTCAAAAGTAATTTAATTAAACAACTTTAACCTCATATTATTTATTAAAATACTATATTGTGAAATTCTAAGATAAGATACAAGTTTAAGGTCATTGTCAAGGGTCACTGGAAAAGATCTTTTTTCATAACCTTTTATTTTTTGTTTTTAATATTAATATTTGTTATGTTACTTTGTTTATAACATATGCTAGTAATTGTTTTATGAATAAATACCACAACCTTTATAAAGAACCAGAAAGAGTCTGGACTGAATTTTATCCTTTTGTTTTTATGGGATAGCAGAGATTTCAAAACTTGAAATAAGGAGACAACATACATATATTTAAAAATAAAGACCTAAATTAGGAAAGTTAGCATATAAACTCAATGAAACATTTCAAAGATACCTGTATTGTGACTTTCATACTTGGAAGCTGTGAACCTAATACAAAATGTTGTCGTGTGCTCTTGTTTTTCCTTGTTTTTCTTCAATTGATAAATGAAATGCATCCATTGTGAATCAGAAAGAACTATTAAAAATACCAGAAATACAGGATACGGTCCAATTTACCTGTTCCTGTTGCTGGAAATCCAATCTGAAATAAGTGTTGATGCCTGTTGATGACAGTGCTTGTTGCCAAAACTGCAGGCTAGCATTATAACTTCTCTACGTAGTTCTCTAGATATCATCAAAAGAGAAACAAATTAAAAAGCAAGTTAGGGAAATTTATTCCCTGAATAGTAGATAAGTAAATTATTAACATAAAAATGGTTTTTAGTTCTAGAAATCCTATGCTGCTGAGTAAAAGACACTTAGACTAGTGGAAGTTAAACATACTGAAAGTTTAACAGTACTCCAGTAAGGCTTCCGATCTCAAAATCATCAATAAAGTTAGATCTTAAATTAAAACACAGCAAGAAAATGTCTTTGTTTTCAGGATCAGGCAATGGAAACTGTTCTACCCAGCAGCAGTCCTCTTGGGAAAGTGAAATGTAAGTTGAAGAATGAAAGGAAGATTGTCTCATGCTGCTAAAGTCACAATGGCCTGGTAGTACATTATTGTACAGCTCTAGGGGAAAATAAAAGGATAAGAAATGAAACAGTACTCATGTTGGTAGGATGCTTGAACAAGAGATCCATTAAAATTATTTTTCGGCCACCCAAGCTTGATATACGTTGCTGCAACTTGCTTTAGAATATATTCCTAAATGGGGTATAGAATAAAAAAAGATAAGGTCAGTTTAAAACTTCTGTATGCTGACAATTAAAATTCTATAACAAAATTAAAATATTTTTAAAATACACCTAATTTCAAATCAGCAAAATTATAAGTGCAGTAATTTTCTATTATAATTTTATTCAATTTAGTATTTTAAATATAAAAAACATGGATAAAATGCTATTGGAATGGTACAAATCTACTCTTCTTCCTATTAAATTACTAAATAATTTGCAGGAGTAAATATTTTAAATGATGACTTCTGTAACAAAATGAGGAAAACAAAGAATATTGATAACACCTATACATTCATATGTGAAAATGTATATAGATATATGAAAATGGGCATCTAATATTTATGCATTTTATATCAACAGGGAATATTTAATGAAAAACAACTATGTTGGCCCAACCATTAGCCTAGTATTAATGAAGCTGAGATACACAGAACCCTTCAATGTAATGATAATGGTACTTCAAAGTCAACAATTCATTCAGCTAATGACACATTTAAGTATCAGTACCAAGGTAAGGCATGCTCTCCCTCACAAGTTTTTGCTCTAGACAGGGTCCTCACTCTGTCACCCAGGCTGGAGTGCAGTGCCAGCAATCACCACTCACTGTATCCTCTGCCTCTCAGCCATCCTTCCACCTCCTTCTCAAGAGTAGCTAGCTGGGACTACAGGCACAAGCCACTATGCCAGGTTAATTTTTTTTTTTTTTTTTTTTTTTTTTTGTAGAGATGGTTTTTCACCATGTTGCCCAGGTTGGCTCTCCCTCACTTTAAGGTAGTCCTTGAATTTTGCCAAAGGAATACAAACACTGAAATTACAATGAAAAAAATTCTTAACTGTTTACTGAAAACAAGGAATCTGACATAATACACTATTCTAACGTACAAATATATACAAAAATATATTTTACTTTTACAAAGGTTTAATATTGCAGTGTTTGCTTTAGGGAGAAATAAATGTGCAATCTGGTAGAAAAATCATATTGTAACCGTAATGACCCTTTTGTTTGCGTGTCTATGCTAAGGGCTTAGACAAAACTAGCAACAAACATAATTATTCCCATTTTAAAAAATCATTAAAACAAAGTTTCTTTTCTGTAGGTTTAGCATAAAAATAAAAAGGAAGGAATTATGATGGCCATCAGAAATCAGATGGCTCTAATAAAAGATTTCATGTCACAGGAATCCACCTGTCAGTCATTCCAAATGTGTGGGTTAATTAGTATAGTCAGTATGTTATAAAAAATAGGATGATTTTAGAAAACACAGGGCCAGCTGTTAAAATAACTAAAGGAAAACAAATAGTGTTGAAAGATCATGGATGGCATAGTGATAAGAAATTTAAGAATCAAAAGGCTCATGAGCAGTACTTAATCCTAATTTAGCAAAAATAATTATTAAATCAGATTAGGTGGTGTCAGGAGAGTAATTTTGATTTACTAGGTTTTGAGTTTAGAAAAATCTGGTCAGGTAACATTTTGGAATGTTTGTCATGTCTTCTTGTCTATTTGGATTATCTGTTGTTTGCTTTCCTGTATATCCCCTTGGACCCAATTATGAATGGGCTTTTGCCTTAGTGTTGATCTTATCCTTGTTAATTAAGGCAGTGAATTGAATTCACTATGTCCTTTTGGATAAAAATAATGCCTAAGAATCGTTACTGAAAAGGCCCATATTCTGTTAAGATCTTTGGGATCTTTCTATCCTGGTTAAGTCCTTTGTGAACACAGGACCCTCTAACTCTTGGAAAGTATGTTTGAACATTAAAAATTTGCTATGTGTATTTCTTCTTAAATTCTGAAGCACTTAAGCTTAATTTACACTTTTAGGTCAGAGCAAAAGGGAAGTTGTGTATTACATTTCATCTTCAAATAATTGTCATATATGTTGCATAGACAATCAGGACAAAAATCAAGATGACGCAAACTAGAAGAGCAAACTCATATAACTTGGGATCAGTTGCATCTATAATAGTAGAAAAAATAAAAAAGTGTATTTTCTAAAAATTAGAAAGAAATATTTTTTTACATTGAAAACATTGTAGTTTTCCATGCGGTCCAGTAATTTATCTAGAGGATAAAGAGCTCGGCTGGCAGCATGCCAAGGAAGAAAATCCTTCTCCTCAGACAGGTATCTGATAATCTCCAGAGGAATATTTTGAGGCAAATACCCAGCCCTACAGAAAAAAAAAAAAAAAGAAGTCAATGTTAGTTATATGCACAATAGATACTGATGCACAAATAAAAATTTTTAATTATACAACTAAAAGGCAGAAAAGCAAGATTCACCATAATATAAAGAAAGCATACTCACTGCTATAAAAATAAAATTACTCACTTTTAAAATATAGTCATACTTAGGATGCCAATGCCACCTTAATATATGCAGAGTTGGACAGTTAAAATGTTTGAATACAAAACATCAGAATGCATATGTTTTTAAAAGTAAGGAATTGTGGAACATAACCAAAACCAAATCTAGGTATGTTCCTTCACAGAAAGTCTTCAGAGGTTAACATGCAATTGAAAACAATTGATCACTTTACTTTTCCAAGTATTGTCTTTCCTTGTCATTTAGCTCAGTGTAATGATATTTAATACATATTTTTTAAATTAAAATGTCAATTTGCAGCTTTGAGTGTTTGTTAGATTACAATAATAGCATGTTTTTCAAACCTTTTTAAAAGTTACTTTCCATAACACTGATGAAAATCTGAGTTAGGTTTTAATAAAGTCCAAATTACAAAAATTTTAAAAGAATCAACTCTTTTATTATTTTCCTTTAGAAATAAAATGTGTCACTTTGAGAACCAACATCAATTTCTTTATAAAATACTAAATTGTACCTTTTAAAAATTATCTTAATATTTATTGTCTATAGTTTAAGAGGCCATATCAAGAATAAGAACCTAAAAGAACTGTATATCTCTTTTCTCCCATAGACTGTATATAATATTCTTGCAAAATCAAAGCAATATAAATGACAGTCCACAATACATTAATGGTCTTAGCCTTGACATCTTTGCTGTATATAGTGACACTATGTATTTTGGTGGAATTTTTCAGCATTGATATTTGCAATGGTTTGAATGTTGGCGTTTCCCTAAAATTATGTGTTGGAACCTACTACCCATTGTGATAGTATTAAGAAAAAGGGCCTTTGGAAATGATTAGGTCATAAGGGCTTCATTTTCATGAATGGGATTAGTGTCCTTATTAAAGAGGTTCCAAAGAATTTTCTTGACTCTTATTTTCAGTATGTGTGCAGCAAGAAGGCACCATCTTTGAAGCAGACCAAGCTCTCATCATACATCTAGTCTGCCAAAAGTTGATCTTGGACTCCCTGGCCTCCTTAACCATGAACAAAAATTTCTATTGTTCCTAAATGATCCAGTGTAAGGTATTTTGCTATAACAACACAAACAAAGGCACAATCAACTGAAAGCAGACTGCTAACATAGGGAAGAAGGAACTATGAAAGCAACAAAGCCTTGTTGTCCTGTTTATCTACATTTCACACTGTTCTTTTGTAACATAACAAAATTAGATGGATCTTTGTATTTGTGCATGGTAGAAAGTGAACAGGGAGGAAACAAAGCATTTTTCATTTTCAGTTAAAATAATTTTTCCATATTATTTAGTCTTAATTCAATGTCATATGCAAAAATTACCCTATAGATAAATATTAGCTTACAATTGTGCTTATAATGTTAATAATAAAAAAAATTCTGAAGAGGGTACTGCAGTTTTCTTTTAATTAAAACAAAAGAATGTGTGTCACTCTAACGATTTTGATTCAATCATAGTATAAGATCAACCACAAGTTCATAATTCACATAAGATAGTAAGCAAATCCCAAATTTCATATAATTTGAAAATATGAAAATTTATGATTTAGAGTATTTCTAGATCTGTGCCCTCCCCTGTGCAATTTCAAATTTGTATATTTTTGTATCTATAGCATGAAATTATACTCTGCAACAATAATTTAATAAACAACTATACTTTAGCTAGTACAACATCCCAATAGTAAGTTAAATCTTGATTTTACAGGTTTGTTGCTCCCTGAAAAAGTAATACAATTTTTTATTAAAATAATCCTTTAGATTACTTCATTAAAAGAAACATAGCTTCCAGTAGTTCCAATTTTATAATTTGTCTTTCTCAAACTTTTAATATTTAATATTAGTGTGGTGATTATATATTCACCTTCTCTTTATACATGCCATGGATTGTATAATGTTAAAGTTTGAAGATTTATTTAGAAGCCATTATTATTTTGTTAAACAAATAAGAAAAGTAATGTATTTTTTAAGAAGAACTTTTAGAAAGTAGCTAACTTACTACAAATCTTCAAGTAAGTTTAGAAAGTTGCTTGAATCTTGTTTCCTACAGATTTGAACGTGATAGCCTTATGTCAAGTATAATTTATTGTGTTTTACTTCATCTCTAGAAATGGATAGACATTATTTAGTGACTTATACTTTGTAGGAAATTTGACTGCAAATAAAAAAAGATGACAAATAACGTTATACAAAGAAACTCAGATTTGAGAAAGAGACTGAACCTGACTACTACTGCACTCATACAATTAGGCAAATAATTTCTCTCTCCAGTCCTCACACTCTTTTGTCTATAAAATAAAAGGATGGAGCTAAGAGACACCCATTTTAGCCCACAAAAGCTTTTAATCTAACCTATATATCTACACTTTAATCTACTGAAAATTAATTGTAATATTATGGGCACAATTTATGTATTTAAAACTTGAAAAATACTTTGTAATTTTATATTCTTCATTCTTTAGTTGCTTAATATGTACAAGTCTAGGAGGCAGGACATGAATCTAGGTTTGATAAGACATCTGGCATTGTGTGAAAAAAATAAATGCAAAGCAAACCTGACAAAAGTTCCAAATAATGGCAAGGTAAGTAAGGAAAAGCATTCATTAAGCATGGAAATGCAGCAAGTTCTGTTTTGAGGATTTTTTTGGCAAAAATCATTAACTGCTCACCAAGATCAATGCTCTTCTCTTCTTCTTTGGATGAACTATATTTTCCAGTTCTTCTGGTACTTAGGTGTGGTCATGAAACTAATATCTAGCCCGTAGAATACGAATCTGCCTCTGCCAAGGCTGTCCTTAGACATCTCTCATTAGCTACTCTATGTTCTTTTTCCTTAAGTCAACCTTCCAGGCGACCTTGGAAATCTTGTATTGAATATGCCAAAAACCTCCTGGGTCCCTGGATAACTACATGACTATGTCAGTTCTCACACCCACTCCTGCTGTGTGAGCAGAAATAACTTCCATTGTATCTGATTTAAAGGTATTTTGGGGTCATTTTTTTATAGCAGTTAACCTTCTTTAATGCAGACCTTGAATAGAATAAAAAACAGATTATACTCAAATTGCCCTCATGCTGCTGTGATACCAACATAAGTAATTACCAATTACCTAATTTAATATACTTGCATTTAAGCCTGCTATATCATGATATGTAGGTACACTTAATTGGACAAGAGGATGATCAGCTTCATTACAAAAGTAAGAATTGTAAGAGATAATGTTGTGTATAGGTTACCTAGCTTAGGTGTTTGTTTGTGTAATTGGCTGGTAATGATATCTGTGATTACTACTACTGATAATTCAATCAATTCAGGGGAGGTGTGTGGAATCCAATGAATGAAACACTATATTTGCTCACAGTAGTCAGCCCAGTGGGAAGTACACTTAGGGTTCTGATGCTAAAATGCAGTTTTCCTAAATTTGCATCATCACAGGGAAATATTGCTAACAAAATATTTAAAATAGCCAATTTAAAGAATATATATTATATATATTTCATATATAATTAAATGTGTCCTATTAATATTTTATAGGAAGAGGTTGTAGATTATATCTTTCTTCCCTACTATTGGAGTGAGGATGAGGATCAGAAACGATTTAGTAGTGAAAGAAAAGACAATGAGAAGCAGCCAAATGAAGAATGTCACAAAAATAAATAAAAGGTTGTCCATTTGCAGCTAGACAGCTGCTCCTCCCATCCCTTGCTACCCATACACATATATCCTTCCCTCTCTTCCCTCCTCCTTCTCCAATTCACAAGACTTAGAAATAAAATATATCTTCAGGTGTATAAGATAATATATTTTATAAGAAAATGATTAAAACAAGATTACATTAGCTGATGTTGAAATGCTCTGACCTTAACTGGCTTTGTTTCCACCTAAGATCCAAAATCCCTTTTTAAAAACCATTCCGAATTCCTGTGAATGTTGACTCTTTATTCTTACTAATATGGGTGGCTTGTATAAAAAAAATAACCTATTTTACTGTAAGTTGTTTTAAAGGCAATTGTTTTCTGGGTTTAAAACTTAGAGAAAGAAAAATAAAACACAATTCTCAGATTCTTAGGTGCATCATACTCTATTCTTTATTAATTGAATATTCATTTAAAGCCAATAAATAGACTCCTACATATTTCACAATATAGGCCAAAGACACTGTTACTATCCCTTAGGGCACAGATTTTTAAAGCACTTGCTGAAATGCTTAATTAAAAAGTTTTCAAAGTTTTGTCTGTGATTCTTTATTATTTATTATTAAAACACTTTATATGCTCTTTGTGGGAAAATCTTATGGTATGGATTGGAAATCCCAATAGTCCCTGATGTTCCATAGAATAAAACGGAAAAAAACACAGGGGAAGTATCTCTGTCAACGAACAGCTCATTTGATCACTTTAAATATAAATATAATTTAGGCATTGCTTCATTATCTGAAGAGATGTAAAAGGAAGTTACTGATTTGTAGCCCCATAAAATTAGTAATACAGTATGAATATTAGTCCCCGCCCAAATCTCATGTTGAATTGCAAATCCCAATGCTAGAGATGGGGCCTGGTGGGAGGTATTTGGATCATAAGGGCAAATTCCCCTTCACGGATTGATGCTCTCTTCCTCATGCTGAGTTCTCATGAGATCTGTTCACTTAAAAGTGTATGATGCTTCTCCCTGACTCTCTCTTTCTCTTGCTCCTACTTTTACCAGGTGATATGTCTGCTCCTACTTCACCTTCAATTATGACTAAAAGCTACCTGAGGTCTGCCCATAAGCTTACACCAGCGCTATGCTTCCTTTACATCCTGCAAAACTGTGAGCCAATTAAATCTCTTTT